CACCTGCTGACAAAGCTAGCGGCTAACCCCATTATATTTGCCAGTTGGTCGAAGCCGATCTATTCTACGTGGCCATCGTAAAACCAGCGTTGCGCGGACGGGTTCGTGTGTGTGTATTCGGGTATGGACAGTAACAAATCACGACTGTGCGTGCGCGCAAGCGACTATCATGCAAGCGCAAAACCAAAGCGCGTGCGGTATATGTTGATGTGATAGAGCGAACGAAAGGTTTACCGCACAAAGGACGTGCAGCGGTGAAGGTGGATGCTCTCAGCAGGTAGGGGCGATGCGGGTTCCTGGCCGGCAATGTAGCCGCATAAGCCATTTTAGTGACGAACATTGTTCTGTGATACTGTGACTGTACGGCTAAGATGGGCTAGGCTTCATGCGTTACACGCTACGTAGCATTCTTTAAAACGAACAAGTAATTTATTTCAAGAGATAATAAAGAGAGCTATCGGAATGTTGACCTGGTGCACTATTCTCCTGTTGGTAAGTATGTACTGCATGTATAATAATTCGTGATATTGATTTCTGCTGAACGTGATCATTAATGGATGGGAAGGTCTAAAGCGGGCGATGGAAAGCCAATTATTTCTTTATTATAAGCCTTTTCTCAGTTGAAGCATGCGATCTTCCATCCATAATATAGCAAACATATATAATTTTCCCGCATCATTAAAATGAAAATTCCAACCTATAGTTTAGTAAGCTCTTATTTGTGAGTTCCCAGCAAGTTACTCACTTTTCCGTGCACGACTTTTGCACGAGAAGCGCCAATCTCTCATCCTCATCTATACAGAGTTGTCTAAAGTGTCTCTAACACTACACATTGACAGCCGGCATTACTCCGAGCAGAAGCTCAGGGAGGGGCATCGAGGCCGTTTGGCAACATGCCAGCCGTGCCTAACATCGCTCCGACACAAGTAACGGGAACGGCCGTATTGAGAGACTTTCGCATCACGGACGAAGATCAAACGAGCGGCGTTCTAGGTAACAGCAGTCAGCCTCGACACACGCGTCCATACGTTAGTCGCATGGCGGCGTCTCGCACGTGTACTAGTCAGCTAATAATACGTAGAAACGGCAGCGATGCACTCTACAATGTCACTTATTGTCATTCTCGCTTTGTAAGATGTCTCGACGCAGTGCGACCTGGCCCGAGAGGCAATGTTCGTGACAATCCGATTTCGCAATCGCTTTGATGGATTCCTGTACCCGAAGGGCTACTACCGGACGTGCAAGATGAAAGCAAACAACGAGGCGGTCATTGTACTAGAGGTCTCTCTGAAAGGCTGCGGCACGGACACATTTGTCGAGGTGCGAATATCCGGGAATAGTCATTTGACTTTGAAGAGATAATGGATCGAGTTGTGTAACAAAAACCGAACATGTTGAAAGCTCGACACTGCGCTGTGTGAGATCACCCCTCTATTGACGAGCCCTGTACGTTGTAGGCGGCAGATTAAATTAAGTCGCGTGAATTTAATTGGGTACATCTCAGTGACTAATGAGACACGCGTTACCACTCCGCGCGGAAAACATAAAACTTCGGGGTTTGTTTCAGGAAAAATACTTATAATAGCCCGTTGAATATGATTCGTGGCTTAGTTGATTACGTCATAAAAATGCACAGTTGAGTTTACCAAGGGTTCCCTATAATTATCTACTGGGGTGGGGTGAGGTGGGTGGGGTGGGGTGGGTAGCGTTTCTGAATTCTCGTGTGCGCACTAAATTACATGCCCGGGCATTCTCTCTTACTCTATGTACCTACTGTTAATCCCGCTTATAAGAAGGAGTATTATGAACCACACGTGCACAAACATTTCTCTTATAGTATGGGTAGTTTGGTCAAGAAAACAACCCAGGCAAACCTGTAGGATACCTCAATAGCATATTATAGATATACATAAAAGAATAGTTGTTGCATTCTACCACCAAATTATAAACATGCATATCTTAGTATAAGTACGCACACCAGAACAAGTTTCACAAGTAACTACTATCAACTTCATGTGTTTTTGATGCCATGTATTACTGATGCATAAGCTATGGCTGCATTACTGGATGGATGGATGGATGGATGGGTTAGTAGACTTTTGGATGGATGCATTACTACAGTTAGGTTGCGCATAGCTTCCACAGATGGAATTTGGTACCGTTTAGATCTACAATTACTGGAGCCGATGCATGAACATCGCTGTATTGTAGCTGTTGATAGTATAGGATATTATACATTAGGGTAGTATTGGTAGTGTAGGGGCGAGCTGTTATTGCATGAATAGTTAGGCCCCAATGAGCGCGCTCACCCTGCTGTTGCTTTATTGACTACGAATTAATGCTTAATTTTCTCGTTTATTATCCGTATTCGAGCACTTTAATATGCGGGCCAAGAAGGAACGGTATTCTATAGAATATTTTAATGAATTTGCCCAAACGGGTCAGAATAACTACATACAATAACGACAGTTCGATTTTATCAGCAAGTTCGACGCACAACGAATTAATTTATATTCTCAAATTTATGATTGGAATGTAGAGTAGAGTGAGTGCATTGATGAACATGCGTTATATAGCTAGATGATGCATGCTAATCAACAGAGGCTACCAATGTGTGACGAAAGTCGGTACATTGTGTTGCTTATCGCTATACTATGTGTCCACCACAATAGGGTTGAAAGCGACGGCGACTGACGACTGACCCGCTTCCACGCCAAGCAGGACCAGAAAATTATTTTCTGCCCCTCTAACTGATCGCGAGGCTACCAAGCGTGTTTGACGGGCATTAACGACCCAAATTGTGCATAGGGTCACGCGCGATTTGCCGCGTAACCATGCGGGGCAACTGCAGCCCATTGGCCTACAAACGCGTATCCTATACACACCCTTGAAACGTGTTCCCGGGAATTAGGTCTAATTCGTGTATAAAGGCATTTAAATGACAGCTGTACGCGACAAGCAAAAGTTGGTCCATGAGCTCAAATGTCATGCTGTGTGTAGGCGCGCGACTAATCAGCGAATTGCTGCCTATTTATTAGGCAATATACGTGTAGTTTAACGCCACTTCAGGGTTATGATGTAGCAAATCTAACGGATCTTAATTCTGATAATTTATTTGAGCTTATTTAGATTATATTAGACATTATACTTATCCCCTTTAGTAAAACCAAGTAAGAAACATGAATGACTTTTCGATTTCAATAATACAAAATAACGGTGCAATTGAGCTGCAATTGAATAATAATCTGACTACAATATAATGTCTAAAGAATAGATAATTATTATTTTGATATAAGTTATTTTAATTATAATTAATTTATACTACAAAAAATGCGAAAATTATGATTACTATTAAATAAATAAAGAATTAAATTTATAAAAATACGAGATGCAGTAGCGAGCCCCACACGTGCTGAATAAAGCTATGAGTAAATTGTAAGCTGCTTGACGTTGTTGTTGGCGGGCAACAGAGGTCGGAGCAGGGCGATGTGGTCTACTACGCCAATACCATCGTCATCATGCACCAGGCAGACGAACAGATTCTTAGCCATGACGACAGCGCCTACCGCACACTGTGCGCCTACAACGGAGCCGGAGAGAGAACTGTCACGTCGGCGCCTTACAACGTCAAGTGAGTTCTAGATCTCAAGCATACGAAAGCGCAGGAGGCTCATTTAAAAAAATCGAAATTTAAAATTTGAACTCTATCACGCTTCTGTATTATCCAATTACAGTACGTGTTACTTTTCACGCATCAGTTACTTAATTAGAATACGGATTTTATTTCCTTATTTATGCTCGAAAACTAATTTAACGGCTATTGAAGTGTGGCGATTTTTCTCGCAAGTTTGTATATAAGCTATATAAGCTCTATACTAATTCGTACGTCGTGTATTGTCAGAGAACCGCGGATCACAAATGGAAGACCTGGCATGATCAGGGCGCCCGCGTGCACATTGAAGGTCGTCCCTGGCGTGGAGCCCAGTGTCGCGCCGGTAGACAGGACATTCCGCCTCGGAGAGATGGCGACACTGGTCGTGATGCTGACTAACAACGGTGCGCTATCGCGTGACGCCAGAGCCTTTCTGTCGCCAATGTAGTTTTAATACCTTTGCTATCATCGTAGTTGCATGGCAACCGTAACTAGGGGGTTAGTGTTTGATAATTCCCCAGATTAGTAGGCATATAAATCTACGTGTTATATTATTAATGGTATTATTAATATTTTATTACCTACGTTAGAGTGTATTGGTTTAATATCGTCACATTGCCGTCACAAGGCAACCAAGCCGACGACTTATCCGTTACATGTTATCTGCGCTACGCTTCGCGCGAATTCACTCGAGGACAGGAAAGGAAACAGGAATGATGATATCTAGTCCGAGATTACACCGTGTTGCAGCCTAATAAATGCCGTCTTTGTTCCCGTCCACACTTCTCGGCGCTTACGCGTTGTTGCGCGCATCGTGTGTTTATTGTAAAAAAGCATTATTGCATGGAAACAGGATCTACTCGCAACCGAAGCAGGAAGAGCTCAGGACGATCACACGCGAAACAGTGTAATTACGCGCTGGCTCTATTATTTCAACTCTACACGCACCTCCCCCACACACGCCGTCGTTGAGCATTAAGAATAGGTTTCCTGTCCATGTTGTAAGAATGAAGAAGACCCACGCATTTGTCCTTTACAGCTAATTTCGACTTGTTTGCGTCGAGATGTTTCGCGCATGACGGCATGAACAGCTTTACAACAACTCTCGTTGACGAAAATGGGTGAGTAGGTAGCCATAGCGGTGTAACCACTAATAAAGCTGCACGCAACACGCCCACTGTTTGTATATGGGCGAGAAATACAACTCTAATTACCTCGGCGTGAATCGAACGCTATACACAGACCAAAAAGCTGGCTGACCTCGAAATGATCCAAACTCGCAGTGCCATCATTGCTAGTTCTGAAACAGGATCCGTCGGTAAGCATCTGTTGTTATGGTGTCTGTCGAATGCGGCACGATCGTCTGTCATTACGGAACGATTACGTAATATAATACGTCATGTAGTCCGCTTTGTTATGCATGCTTTGCTCAGTTAGGTAGATTTGACATTTCGTTGACATTTTTATCGTAGCTCCTATTTGAGCATGTGTTTATGTAGGGAAGCGTTGTAGAGAGTTACAGAGCGTGATAGAATCTGAGATAGAGAGGGAGATGTTAGATGGAGAGAGAGAGAGAGAGAGAGAGAGAAGCGACGCAGGCAAACATACAGTCAACTCACTTCCCCACACGCGTGTTCACATAAACGCACACACGCAGGCACTCGCGTATGGACACACGCACACGCACGCAAGCACGCACGCAGTTAAGCAACATTATCATACGTCATTGCTCATACGTCATGATGTGCTAAAAGGTCATTCGTGTCTGGGCCATCGATACTATGGTGACTCAGCATAATTTCAAATTTTACAAAGTCAACCAAGCGAGAAGTGCACGCACAGATCGGATAAGCAAACATGAGCTTGCAAATACATAGTCTAATCGTGATTCACGTGTCTGCCAGACTGTGACTCGTTTCGCAAGAAGGGACAGTCTGGCTGCGCATCGCAGCGCGGACAGAAATCTGACCATGCAGGCCGTAAATTAATAATATGTAATAAATAAATAAATAAATGAATAAATAAATAAATAAATAAATAAATAAATAAATAAATAAATAAATAAATAAATAAAATAAATAAATAAATAAATAAATAAATAAATAAATAAATAAATGAATAAATAAATAAATAAATAAATAAATAAATATATGCCAGCAACATGACACGGTTATATGCTGTAGGTGTCCAAACAACGAAATCGTTTTTCATGGAGGTCTGAAAAAGAACGAAGTCGCCTTGCCAGGCAAGACAACTATCTACGCCAACTTCCGCGTTTTCAAGTTTCCGGATGTACCGAATGTGTACTTCGAGTGCATATGCGAACTGTGCATCAATAAATGCCAGCGAGTGAGTATGGTTAACCAATCAATCAACATGCGTGAAGCGGCGGCCTGGGCCGTCTCATGGGACGCAGATCTATTCCAGCTACCCCATTATGCAATAGCACATACATGTGGATTCGAAGAGCTTATCACTCGATGCCATTGATCTATTAACTTAGCGATGACCGAAAATACATTAAAAATCACCTAACTACTACTGACCAACTAACTAACTCACTCACGCTTTCTCACACACACACACACACACACACACACACACACACACACACACAACACACACACACACACACACACACACACACACGCACGCACGCACGCACGCACGCACGCACGCACGCACGCACTCACACACACTCATTCACTCGCGCAGATACTCGCTCGCTCTATTCGTTGATGCAGCTTCGATTTTTCTACGTTTAGTCTCCTTGCGGGAAAGGTGTTGACGCAGCTAGAATGGACAGTAGTATGAAGCTGCTGACGCGCCCCTTGCGGGTTGACACGGCGCGAGAAAGCGTGCACGTCGGCAACGCGAAGCGTAAGCGCTCGACAGAGCCGGCCGACGAGCCGCTCAACGCGACGAGCAACGTCACTAGCGTCAACGTCTTCAACAGCATCACCGTCGCCCTCGACGAAAAGAAACCGACGCGCATGCCACGAGGTGCATATATACCCGCAGATAATCGTCATGCGATATGCTGAGCGCAATTTCATTTTTAGGATAAATGAAAATCTATTGTCCTGTTAGCGACAGAGTCGACTTCCGGTATATCTGTCTATATTACCAAGCGGAATGAAGGTGCTTGGACTTATAGGGCTAATATATTTTGATATATCAAATACAGTAAAATTACATGGTAAACGTATCATGAAATTCGCCGATCATGCAAAACTTATTCCTAGATCTGCATAGGGTGCGTTTGATAAATGTATTCCAATTAAAGCTGCCTTTTACGTACATTCTTTCGATTGAAATATAGCATTTCACGTTTTCATATTCGCCGACCAGTCCTTACAGAAATGAATCACCACAAAAAACGTTCTCGTCGACTCGTCTAGTTTTACTGAAAGCCGCCAAGTGTCAACACCTTTGCACGTTTTTACATTCGCCGAATAATCTTTACAGAAATGGATGACCACAAAGAGGTTTTCTTCGATCCGCCTAGTTTCACCGAAACCCGTCAGGTGGCAGCAGCGAGCGTCGCTAGCGCCGGCGTGTGTATATCGAGGATGTCGTTCGCCGCCGGGCTGTCGACAATGGCCGTGCTGCTGCTGCTCGCCATCACACTGGCCGCCGTGCTCTGGTCGAAGCTGTGCAGGTCGCGGCTCGGGTTCGCGACGTCGTTCGATGACTCGCGCGTCGACTCACCGTTCGGCAACCTCTCCGAGAGCATGCTGATCGCCGGCGGCACACTGCGCTCGACCGTCAAGCCGTGCAGCGTCGGCAGCATCCGCTCGCAGCTGTTCGTCGGCGACGGTGAGTATTTCGCAGATTGCGGCGCCGCCCTGCGGCCGGCACCCGCGTCGCTCGTCGCAAGTCGCAAGTCGGCGACGCTCGAGCACCCTAGGAAGGACGGCGCGACGTACATCGCTGCCGAGCAGGGTAGCCTGTACGGTGGTTTGAGCGGCATCGGTTGTACGCTGCCGCGCGCGGGACAGGCGGGGCCCGCGCGTCACAGGCACGCGTCCGACGCTGGCGGCGGCGGCGTCGTGCGCGGCGACGAGCTGTCGCGCTCGCGGGTCGGCAGTCTGCGTTCGCTGCACAGCATCGGCAGCGTGCGCAATCCGGCGCTGCTCGTGCAGCAGGTGCGCCAGCAGTCCGATGCGGCGCCAGCGCAGCGGGGTGAATTTAGCAGGCGACAGATGGCGCTACCGGTCCGCATCGCGACCGACGAGGCGACGGCGACGCGCTGCGAGAAGCGCGACAGCGGCGCGAGCGCCGAGGAGGGCAGCGTGACGGCGTCGCAGCTGCGCGACATACAGGACGAGCTGTACGCTGAGCTGACGGCGCGCGACCTGACGGCGGCAAAGCAGCCCGAGTACTTGTTCGGATTCGACGAAGCAAGATCGCTGGCGTCGGACGATGGCGAGGAGATGCACACGCAGCTAGGAGCAGGCAAGGCGGCGCTCGATCGCATGAGTACCATCGAGAAGTTACTGCTCTCGCAGTACATCAGCGAGCTGCAGAGGTACAAGGGCGGCGGCGGCGGCGGCGGTGGCGCTGCAGTAGGGGATCCGCCCAGCGATAAGGGAAAGATATTGAACACGGATTTCTTCTATCCGCAGAAAACGGATATATGATAAGGAAGAAAAGAGTTTAGAGTTGATTATATATTCGACAAGCATTTTCCATGGGAATGAATATTGTCGATATCGATGTTTACGGAAAGTGTGCTTGTGTGTATGTTTGTACGTGTGTATGTGTTTATGTGTGTGTGTGTGTGTGTGTGTGTGTGTGTGTGTGTGTGTGTGTGTGTGTGTGTGTGTGTGTGTGTGTGCATGTGAGTGTTAATTAAGCTACAATTAGCGATTATCGTCTCAATGGTGGTTTATAAACAAAATATGAAATCTGTCTTGAAATCGGGCGAATCTTAGAAAATGTAGTATCATTATATTGTAAAGGTCCACATGTTTTGAAGTTTCAATTAGCAATACCAAGCAAATTACTATTGATTCAAAATGTTCGTAAAATATTTTGAATTCTATTGCATATTTCTTGAATCTCTATACCAAGCTTAAGAATATAACTAATGCCTCAGAAATATGAAAATGTACATATTTCGAAATGCTGAAATTCTGCTGTCACGAAGGTTCCATATATATATATATATATATATATTTGTAACAATTATAATAATAATAATATATATATAATATATATATTTTTTATATATATATATATATATTATACTATATAATGCTTTACAGAAATCAGCTGATAGTGTAAGTAAATCACCTGTTTCTGCAATAACACCGGATTTTGTTTTGTTTTATACATTTGCGATAAACAGCTTTGGATTGGTTCCGATTCCTTAATATTGTGCAGTGATGGGCCACCAACTAAATTTAACACAGAATAATGCGCCCGATGGTAATACCACAATATTACTAACATAAGACAGTAATAGACTAGGTCTAAATTATCACATTTTATTCGAGTATCCATGATAGCTTCACTGATACAACTACTGCTGTGAACATGAGATATGAACATGCCTCTACGTAACTGTTGTCGCAGGGATAAAGCTTTTTCTTTTTCATGTGCGTGATATTTTTGCGTGTTGTATACTTGTTGAACAATTCCACTTACATTCACGACATTTATCTTCAATTCGTAGCAGTACCGTAGATAGCAAAATTAAAGATGCATGAAACAGCTTTACAATACTTCTATCGTATGCAATTGGCTCACCTCACACCGCACACCGCAGCAATGCTTTATTTTGGGATAGGGACCACAATACTGCAGTAATATTTGGGATTCATCGCTTTTTGGCCCGGAAGCTTTTCTTCTGCTTCGACTCAAGCTTGTTTTGTCCGCGAAACTTGATGTCCGTTCTAGTGAGCATATCTTCGTTGTCCAAACTGTCAAGCTCGTACTCGTCTGTAACAGAGCATTAGAGGAATGGAGAAAAAGATGGAGAAATTATATACGACAACCATGATCATGGCTGCATACAGCAGTCAACAATCGCCCGTTCTATATACTGTAATTTTATCACGCGAATAGAGAACACGACTATAGTGAAGTTAGATGAACTAAAAATTTAATATGTGTTGTTTGTGCTATATCATATCAGCTATCTATGTATAATATCCATTAAGTTAGCAACTTATAATTAAGATAAGAATTAACAACAAATATCTAACGAAGAAAAATTAGCATAAATTAGCACTCATCTAAGTAAGCGGTATTTAATAATTTATTAGACATGGGGATTCAGTGACATACCTGACGAATATCCCTCCTCTTCAAACGTCACGCGAACGCTTCCATTTGGCATCTTGTCCTCTATGAAGTGCTGGAACTAAAACGGCACGCGATATACGAATAATCAATCTTTTATTCTATAGCTTGTACTCGCAAGATTCCTTTACGGTAACCTCCGCGGGGCAATATCAAAACACATATTTATTGCACGTTGCTGTTCTGACACCTACCGCTTCGCCGTTCATGTTTCTAACCAGTTTTTCTTCATCTGGGTTGGCGGCGTAAGCGCCGACGTTGGCGATTAACTTCTCAATGGCGGCCTCGCAGCTCACCAGTTGATCCTGCAGCTGAACTGGTGCATCACCCGCCTGCGTGATTTAACGAGTGAAATGGTAAGCTGCCTTTCACACCGGCGCATCAGAAGGAAATCTTAGTAAAGGCGGTTTACTTGTTTATTTGAGCTTTACTTGAGCTTGCGTCTCGTAACGACGCACTCGTTCTCACTAATTGCTACGAAATCTTTCACTTTATATGCCTCAATAATAAAAAAATATAAAAGTTTATTACCATGATATAAACTTTTATAAAAGTTTTAATATTAATTGAGCATTAGCGCAGGAAGATGCTGATAATTATATTCTCACTAGGTGCTCATGATGATTACATAGTATAGGAAAGTCAACAACACAATTTTATTAATGTCAAATAAATAAGAGTGTAGGGTCAAATAAACAAGAATGTAGGGTCAAATAAACAAGTGCTAAAAGGGTTGACGAACATCTGTATAAGATTACCTCCTCGTGTCGCTTCACATCCTTCAGCTTGCTAGCGATAGAGTCAACTCCTATCCTTGCTGCCGCTAATACGCTACCGACTCTCTCCAGGTCCTCCGTCAGTTGCTGCTTGCGTAGCAGTTGCTCCTTTAGGTGTTCTCGTGTCTCATCGATGAGCTTCATGTCCCTAGGTAACATATTATTCGCCAGGATCTTTCCTGTTAGTGCAATAGTTCCTTGTCCCAGTTGCAGATCACACGAGTGTCAGCTGATTGACAGATGTGTTCCCCGTTGTTGCTTATATAGTGGGAAGTTTTTCGATTTTTGTTTCAGCCGAAGATGCTGGATGTTAGAATACTACAACTTGTGAGTAAGATCGAAGTTATTATGCCTGTGTCACAATCACATTGTTGTTGAAAAAACAATCAGATCCATCGCCCATTGGTCTTTGCAAAATTAAGTCTCCAGAATATGTGAGGATGGCGATGTGGAGACAAGTATTTTCCCACGGTGGAATTGCCGTCGCCATCTTTCCAACAAGATCGAAGTGCAGATCGTGCGTTAGCTCATCTGTCTCGTCCACTTCCGCATCCATCTTACACTTCGTTTTACGCTGTCGACATTGTTTTCTTTTTGCGCTGCCCCAGCTCATCGCATACCTCGCTGTCTTCTGCTCGCCCGTGTACTTCGTGTTGACGAAGAGCGTCATCTTCTGCTCCTTGTTGTCGAGTAGTTTTTGCCGTTCCTCCTCCTTCTCCTTGCGCTGGTTTTGCAGGTGTTCGGCCGTCGCGTCCTGGCTGAGCATGTGCGCCACGATCTCGTCCACGTCCGTCGCGTTGGTCGCCATCTTTATCGCGTCGAAGCCGTCGTTGAGCGTCAGAAGTTTCTCGTGCTGCCGATACAACCACGCGAAAAGCATTAAAACGGCATCAAGCCCTAACGCATCCAAATAACGCAAAAAATCTTAAACTGTTAAGATACACGGTGTCAATATACGCAACAGATGTCTGTTAACTGATCCCTTAAGTTAAAATGATCAAATGCGTACATAACCTTGTGAAAACAATATTGTTTTATTCGGAATCCAGCGGATGCAAAAGAAACCGAAATAAAAAATAATAAATGGCACACCAAATAATTAATAATAAATAATAATAATAATAAATGATATTAATTAATAATAAATAAATAAATAAATTATAATTAATAATAATAAATAATAATTAATTAATAAATTATTATTATAATAAATAATATTAATTAATAATAATTGATTGGCGGCGCAAATAATAAAAGGCACAGATAAAGATGTGTGCAGAAAGCACAGAATACTGTCGTGCAGTTTACAGTTCATGTGCCAAGCTAATTATTTACGGTCAAGAGAGGAAACTGTGCAAAAATATTGTGGCTAAAACATATCTACGGAAACAGTATCTAAAAAAATGGTCACATTTTCACGCCTAGACAAAGCACTGGACAGGTTGTATACAATAAATACGTTAATATGGTTTCATTGTTAGTTCGTATTTATTATTATACCTTTTGGACCTTGTTTGCGAGAGCCCACATGTTCTTCTGGTCGTACCGCATGTCGTCTGTGTGAATCGTCGTCTTTGTTGCCATCTTTTCCGCCTCTGCCGCCATTTCCTTTTGCCTTTCAACGTTTTTGCGCTTCGCATTTAACTGGTGGTCCCGTTTGCGTTTCCATTCCTGCATTTGCTTCTCCATCTTGCCAAGCTCAATCTGCGTGCAATAGTGGTTTCCACGAGTGAATCCGATCGGCATCGCAGAATCTCGTGCATGCGTGTACATGCGCTATCATTGAAGTCAACGACACGAATAACGACATGGCGCAAGCCCTTACCTTACTCTGCTCTCGCGCGTTCAGAGCGGCTACTCTCATGTGAGTTAGTTCCCGCAGCTCCATTTCTTGAGTCGCCAACATTTGCTCGAGCAAACGCAACGACTCTGGATAGGACAGACTCTCCTCATTCAATTTCATTAGGACCTGTATGCAAGGGCATGCGTACAAGGGAGATGCTAGTCAATTTGAGATCACTTGCTCTATTCATCTTATAATTTCAATGCATTTTTGAACAAAAATCTTCATCGATATCGTGAGACGTGTTTGCGTGGGATGCGTTAGTTAAAAGTTCATGGGAGATGATCTACTCTATACGTGATCACTAATGCAAATGTACGTAATCGATGCATTCTATGACAAAATCATTTTCAAAAAAATCGTGACGTGGGTGACTAGCGCGCTATCGTCATCCCTCACCTGTTGGTACATGCGCTGGACGTTATATGCGCTGTCGTGCTTCATCTTGGCCTTATCCAGCGCGTTCTCTAAGCTTCTTACGCGCCGCACCTCATCCTCGTAGCATTGCTGATCGGCGACCAACTGCAGCTGATCCGATCGTATCTGAAACAGTCATAGGGAGCCTATATACTACCTACTACGATGTACTCTAACTGTGTACTATAACTATATACTATTACGCACTAGCTTGAGCAACAGCATACGTAACTGCTACATAGTACCTATCTGTCATCTAGCTAGGTAGAGAACGGTGCGTTACGGAAATACTATACTCGTGAGATTATTCCAGAGAAAATATAAATATTTCGGATCCAGTATGTCGTGTAGAGAATTTTCTGTCTCTGAGCTATTTAAAAATATGTCTCTGGGCTATATTAAATACTTTAATTTTTAACCAATTTTTTATTTTTAAAAATGCATTTGAAAACCTATAATAGCAGTTGACAAGCATTTAGGTCGAATAGAAACATATATACACCACTACAGTGTATATTACTGCTGTGCACAACGCATATTTCGGCATCAAGCATACTGGGTATAATCTTCTTCAAAACAATATTAATCAACCTAAGAAGAAAAGAGAAAGATATACGGATTACATGTTTACCTTCAAATCTTTTAATCGCTGCTCCTTGCACGCCCCCTGGTATCGAAGGACGTTCAATGTCTTTACGATTTCGCACACTTTCTGATCCATCGATTGAACAGCCTGTGTTGCCGTGTGGCGAAGCAGAGACAATTTCTCCTCCCGCCGATTTTGAAACGCGTTGGCGATAACATTCTTGTCACCCTTGAGAAAAATAACACCATTTTCACAAAGCTATCAAGTTGTTCTGACAAAACTCGTGGAGGTATAGCCAAGCACCGCGAATCGAGATTTGCTGGGCGGCTTTAAAGAACGGAAAGCGGAGGTAAATTCACATGTTTGACATCCGATTTTACACACTTTGGTGCAAAAGTGTTCCTAATATTATCTTTGAATTTTCAGTTTTTCAGAGTATGGTGGGGGAATATAACAGTCTATTGCAGCCCGTAGAAGGTACACTCAACACGTGCCAGAAGCAGGAGTCTATCTTTAAAAATATATACGCCACTGCTTCCTTCATTTGTATAGGATGAACCTTGACGGTGTACACTAATGAAAACGCCTACCTATCGAGTAAATACATGAATTCAATCGTTTTAAATTTACATGTTGTGTTCACATAAGCGTTATTTGATAGCTGGCTTGCCCAAAGAATTAAGGCTTCGGCAAATACCAAAAACTTCGCCTGTCCGAGATCAGCTACTGAAGTTAACATAACTACATCATCATTACACGGTTTTCACTTTTCGGGTATGCTGAAAATTCTTCAAAATTGTTGTTGATCTATTCAAAATTGTATTAACGCCGGCAAATTGGTGGGACAGGACGAGCTCTGATAAGGTCAGTTCAGCAACAGCAGCAGCACAGCTAAATTATAAAACGGATGTGCTAAAGCTGTTACTTAACCACACGAATCACACTGGTCGTTGGGTAAATCTGCTGCAGGGCCAAGTGGTAGGCGGATGAGAACTACAAACAGGGGGAAAGTAGCTTTTCAACCCGTTCAAAAAGTGCGTCATCCTTTTCAACATTATTACCTAAATGCTGAACGGGATGTCTACTACTACTACTACTACTACTACTACTACTACTACTACTACTACTACTACTACTACTACTACTACTACTACTACTACTACTATTACTTTTTCAATCATCGCGGCTGTTGTTCAGCTACTTACGCTGATGCTTTTTGCTAGGGTTATACGTCTTTCCTTATTTAATCCTCGCAGGCCAGTTATAAATTGATCGTTTGCTCGTTTAGAACTCTGTGAAAAGTCGTAATACGCCTTGCTATCTCTTCCTACATGAAAGGAGACGTAGAATGGTTATAGCGCAAATTACACATTAAAGTAATCTAATAGAGTTAAACGTGTAAGGTTCCCATTTACCTATGAAATACGCACAGAAATAACAACGACAACAACAGCAACAACATCATCATCATGACTTCAGCGTACTTACCAAGTATTAGAACTTGAAACGGCATAAACTAATTAATATAGTAAATTCACATTGCAGATAATTTAACGATCGGTAGTTATACTATAGCTATGTGTTGTCTACACGAACTGTCGTTAAACATGTTTGTTTAGCAATCTTAATTACTAAAAGATGAATACCTTTCAGAGCGAGTTTAGCCCGTATTTCCTCAATCTGGTCAACCGTCGACCAACCTGCTGCTATAAGCTTCATCTTAGGCATGTCGCGCGAAGAACGGAGTCACTGTCGACTGAGAAATGATGATAATAATAATATTATTATTATATTAATAATAATAATAATCATAATGATGATGATGAAGGTGACGATAATGATGAATGATGATGATTACGATCATAACAATTTCACACTGAGCACGCGCTTTATATAAAAGAACGCGATTCTATGAAACACAATACGTAACAATCAGGCGAGTAGACCAGCAGTACATTACTCGTTCTATATTAAAATAATCTATATTACGATGGTATAATAGTTAATATTATATGATAATTAATAAGATATGATAATTGATGTGTGATAAGAGTAGGTTTTCTGAACATAACTCGTTCCATATAAAAATAATCAATATTTGAATTGTATAATAATTATTATTAATCGATACTTGGCATGACAAGTGTGCCTCTCACCTATACTACAGTCGGCGACGTCAATCAGTGCAAGCGGAGAGCTTTACTTATAAAACACAATTAATATTGTCTTGGATTTGTTGCAGAATGCATGAAACGCAAACGGGACCAAAGAAAGGCAAAAGGAAATGTGGGGCAATGGAGGCTTCGTAAAAGACGTGGCGGCGGTCACTCCCGCGCTGGAGGACTATATGACACTAGCTGATCTATTGCCGAATGGAACGCGCGTCATGCCTTCTCTCAGATATGCTTAGCAACAACATTGTTCTGCATGTGCTAACGTGGAACAATGCAGTTCGTGTTAATTCACAGTGCACGGTCATCAGACCTCGTTTGGAAGACCATCATTAAGGTATTTCTACGATACTAATTACGCAAAATTAATAAAATAATAACTTGCACCTATATATTGCAAATTCTGTAAATTATGGGTTTGGTCATGGGCGTCTCTGATTCACAGCATTCTATAGATTCGATAGACTGATAAGTCCGATAATTATGAGCTTCATACAAACCAAACCCATATCTCTTTTTAAGATAATTCTTATGCATTTAACGTCAAGATTGAAGAAATTATCAAATTTTAATATATTTTGTTTAGCACAATGCGATTACATTCAAAGCTCGCGTAAATATAAAAATATATTAAACGACATTGTATCTGTGCATGTGTGCATGTACATACTGTATGATGCGTTTAAACGAAAAATAAACCCTTTAAAAACTTCCTTAACTTCATTCGCCCAGTGCAATAACAACAACATATAGGCATAGTACTAGGAAATGCTCAGATCGGGGCGTCTCAACTGCTAGACTAACTTTATCGAAGTTTCGGTATACAGTAGCATACGCTAGCCGGTGTCGGATAACACATGTGAAGCATATGAGTGCATGCACGTTCAGCGTCCACGTGTATGTTAGAATAGCCGAAATTCCGATGTTAGGGGGCATATGTGATCATGTAGCGTGCGTGTTCGTAGCGTCTTAGACATGCAGCTGTCGGGTGACGAGAGGGATGTAGAGAGTTGGGTCTCAACTGGCGAGGCTCTTGCTGCCCCAGCATCTTCCATTCGTTTAACCTGTTTTTCATAGTGCCAAAATCACAGTATGAATGTAGGCATGACTGAACAGGCTCTCATCTAAATGTCTCGTATGCATGCGCCCTGTGTCGTGCTCTACATTTAGTATACGATCAGCTGGAAATAGCTTGAAACGAAACACCGTTCTTGCATTCGCTGTGTACTCCTTTTCTCAGGGAATACACCCACAACTATCAGTCCATTTCGCTAAGGCTAAGCTGGAAGCAGCGGTGCATAGGCATGCGATCATAATGAGTGGCCAAAGACGGAAAGATTGACGCAGTTTCGGCTCCATAATGGGCCTCGGGCTCGGAAAGAACAAAATGCGGCTGCCGTCGGAGTACAACATCAAAGTCTCCAGCGTGAGGGCGAAAATCGACCGACGGCCGACCATCATCGACGAATCTTCAAATGTTGTCCTCAAGTACAAGACGCCCCACTTTAGGTAAGTTAATTGCCAGCAAAGTATTTTCCTGTTGCAGTACGTATAGTCGTGCACATTTTAATATGAATTGACGTCGGAGAGTTGCAAAGTATGATAAAATAGGTGTAAAAGAGAGGGAGGGGGAGAGAGGGGGATGGAGATGTAGGATAGGCAAACATATTATATTAAACGACCCCCTAGACACACGCACGCATGCGCACACACGCACACACATACAGACATCACACACACACACACACACACACACACACACACACACACACACACACACACACACACACACACACACACACACACACACACACACACACACACACACACACACACACACACACACACACACACACACACACACACACACACACACACACACACACACACACACACTACTACTACTACACTACCTACCGTACCCCACCACCAC